GCATTGAGCTGCAACTTTTAAACAAATTTCTTAACTCTTGGAACACTAGTTGATGCTCTCGTATCTAATGATTGCCCTATCTTCCACCTGTCTCTTGTACAGTGGTTTTCCAAGTAGCCCACAGCGGGCTATGAAATACTGAAAATTTGCCTAAGAGCTTAAAAATATATTAATAATGGGAGTTGAAAATTAACCACCCGAAAAAGCCAAGTTTGAGCTTTAAGAAAATTTGCTTCAAAGTTTTAATTCTTACTGACAAGGGCGAGTAACGCTACTACTACCTCAGAGATGGAGATATTCATTGGTTCACACTGGGAGGTGGACAACAGAACCCATCCCATTGGCTACTCTGAAAGACCACATTTTTGCAATCTCACACTACAGCTAGGCTTCGTTTTGCTGCTGGAAGACTAATTTGCTATTACTGAAATAATAGAATTTTACAATACAATGAAAGGGCAAACGAGCTGCATTTAGTGTATGTGATGCTTCTAACCGTCTCATTTTCAATGTTATTATTTATTTTGGCAAAAAATAGCTTTTTTTTTTGATAGTGTATGCTCATACCTGACATGGTAGTCATTTCTAGAATTTAAGGGTGAAGATTGTGTTGGTTTTGTCTGAAGTATAAAGTAAGAACATATTTTGTCTTTTAGTAACTAAATTAACGATTTAGTTCTAGGTAACTAAAGATTTAGTTATAACCAGAAGAATGGATGCGGTTCAAACTGAGGCCTTAGTGTGTGGCAGGCCCTGCACTCTACCAGTGAGACATGGACGTTACAGCAGTATTTCACAACAAGCATCTCTGTGACAAGGTTGCATCAGCTGACACCAACTATGATGCTACTGTCTCATCTAACATGGCTCGCTGGACCTCGATCTGATTGCCCGTCCACTATTTGCGTTATTCATTACCAATCTTCCATTATAACTTACCTTGTTTTATAGACAATATGGCTTCGAGGAAGCATGAGAATAGATGTACCAAGAAAGCTTTGGAGTGAGGGATGAGACAATAGTATTCAAGGCAGTGGCAGATGATGCAAGCTTGTCGGTGAAGTGCTAGTTGTAAAATCACCCTATTGTAACCTCCGTAGCACAACCAAGACCTCGGTTCAAATCCCCGCCTATTCTTTTCAGTCTGAAGTTATCACATGCACATGTGATAACTTGAGACTGGGTCTCTTGTTTCCATCTGTTTGTGAAGATAGGAGTCTTGGCTGTTAACGCCCTACTTCTGTCAGGGAATTCAAGCCTCCATGGAGACTACTTGGTGAATTTTCCCATGAAAGCTGACCTTTAGCCAAAGGTTATGGGGGATGGGGAGTAGGACTTTATAAGTTCAGGGACAATGGTTATAATTATAACGTTGATTTTTAAAGAGGTGGACAGGTAAGCCAGAGGAAGGACTCGGTCAGGTGACCAAAAGCTCCAGTGGCGGGTCATCACATGACTAAGACCCGCGTCAGTAAAGACTTGTCCTGTTTCCAGACGAATCTTACCTAATTTAACCTAGCTAAGAGGACTTTGTGAGGAGCCTTGGTCGGAAGCGATTTGGAGGCCTCCTTGTGGAGACCTGACGGCCAGACTGTCGAGGAGAGCGAGGCTCTCTGTGCGGTCTTCGGACCTGGTGACAGTAGTCTGGCTGGTCTACTAGGAGTGATCTAAGGGCTCCATGCTGCAAGTATATAATCTATTTCGTCAACTAATTGTGTTCCCCTATCTCAATTATCTTGTATCTTCCCAGTTACCTTGTTATCAGATCACTTGAGCAAAGTGCTCAAGTGCATTGTTGTAATAAATAAATATTAATAAACTGTAACTGAGTGGAATATAGTACTCGCTCTCCCCATCGTTAATCTGTTTTTCTTAATATTAAATATTACTTAAGTGATAAGGGAAAAGTTAAGTGGAACGAGTCAAGGTCACAATACTGTGTAATAAGGCGAGATAGTGTCCTCACTGTCTCATAACTCATTACTTAACTCATTACTTATACTTACCATACTCAGGGTAAGAAAGGTCTATCTTTGTCGTCCATATATCTCTCATATATACATATATACACACTTGTATAATTTATTTCACGGTTTTTATTTTTATTTTTTGGTACAAAAATTTTTTACAATCCTTTAAAATATTTAGTTTTTAAAAAATCCAATTTGATCAGATTTGAGAAAATTGGCACCCATGCAGCACAAAATTAATATAAAAATACTTAAATTAAAATACACCAGCATATTCGGTTTGAAGCCGATCAGAAAAGATATTTTATAATTATTACGTGGCAAACAATTAACTTAATAAAACTGTCATACTGAAATTTACACAGCTTAAAGTGAGTGAAAAGCTTTGCTTTTCACTCACTTTAAGCTGTGTAAATAGTAAAGTTTGAAGTCGATCAGATAAGGCATTCTCCAGTAATTAATTCTGGTTCTAAAGATTCGAAGTTTTTTTTAGCAATTTGCAACTGGAAGTTACTTGAACTAAACTTATGGAGTATCTTACGTCTTAGAGAATATATCCTTAATAACATTTAAGCTAATCAAAATCAGCATTCTTTAGTTATTGAATAAAAATATCACTGTTTATTAATTAAATTGGCAAATGTGCCCCCCCCCAGTAACAGCGTGAGCCTTGTGTTCAGGAAACTACACCATTGGTTACAGTTTGAAGCCGATCAGACGAGTCATTCTCCAGCTAAGGTACGGATTCCAAGTTTTTTTTATTATTTTGCTCCGTCAACAAGCTGCTGCACGCAAACAAAACTGCATGAGTATTATCCTGGCCTTAAAATACATTAGCCATTAAATATTGAAGTCGTTCAGAAGAGGTAAACTGAAATTTATTTAGCTTGATATGATACAAATAAAAATGACACTATTTTACACAAAATGGGCAAATCTGGACCTACTTGTGCTTCACTCTCCTCCATCATGAGTCAGGAGCCGACTTTTTTAATGTTTGAGGGTTTCGGAAATTATCAGAGCCATTCCAGGATACTTTGATCATAGGGCAAAATAAAATCCAAAAGTTGGAGGAAGAAAATAAAGCAAAAATCAGGCAACCTTTTAAAAATCCTCCCTTCGGGGATACCTAACAACATTCCGGAGGTGCTTAACCAAGACAGAACTCGGTAATGGATTCAAGTTGGCAAATTTTAGAAATAAAGAGAAGTACTTGTTTGGCAATAGAATGGAACAAACTTTCAGGTAGTGTCATTAAGGAGAGAACACTGTGTAACTTTATAGGTTGGATGAGTATATGAGTGGGTGTGAGTAGACCTGCCTAGAATGGGCCAATAAACCTACTGCAGTGTTTCTTTATTCTTATGTTTCTATTTTCTTATATTACTGGGTATCAACTGCAGAACTTCGATGTCATGTGGGAGACTAAAGAAACTAGGAAGTGCTTTCAGAAACCAATAAATAATCCGGGATTCTTCATGGTACTATACACAGCGTATGTCAAGGTATACTTCGAGTAAGCACCACCAGCATAATGCTCATACGTAGTCAAAAGTATACAGAAGCTGGAGAAGGTCCCGAGGTCTTAGACTAGTCTTGGGGATGAAGGCAATGATATAAAGGAAGAAAATAAATATACTCAGCCACCTTGAACGCGATGATGGGGGGTTGGGAAATTATTACATCATATTATCAGGAACTGAAAAGGTTTGTTAGAAGACTGAAATGTGCCGAACAGGTACAAGGTGGCACCGATGAAACCTTGACATAGTTAAGCCACTGAAACGTTAGAAAATACTAGAGTTTACAAAAGACAAATGAAATACAAGCAAGGAAAACAAATTAGGTAAAACAGTCGGTAGAGACATGTTTACCAAACAAGAAGAAATATTAAAAAAAAAAAAAATCTGGGCCATAACGAATGTTTTCAAGAATTTCTGAAGGAAAGTATCGAATTATTGAACTTCTGATATCTCATCCATGTATCGCTGCAATCAGGTGTTGTTATTTTACGTAAATGGTTTAGAAGACCGACAAGATAAATGAGACACTTATGCAACACTTAGGAATCTTTATTTTCACCAACCAGTGGCTTCTTCAGTCCAATGAAGAGAAATGGTGAGAGATAAGGATGAGTTTAAGGATGAAGAACTGATTATCTCAAACTCCTCATCTTTCTGTACTGGACTGAAGAAGCCAGTGGCTGGGGAAACGTTTCCAAAATAAAGATTCCCAAGTGTCTCATTCATCAAGGTGTTATGGTGGAAATGCGAAAGATGGCTAAAGATATTCCTATCTACAAAATGAGAGATAAGTCCCTACCATCAAATTACCACCCAAACAACCTAAGCGTTAAATTAACCGTGGTTAAATTATTGAAATTAATAATAGTGATAAACTTAGTAGCCACCATGATGAACACGAATTCTCAAGATGTATTGTATTATTTAAAAAGAAGCGCTAAACCTACAAGTCATACAGCAAGATGTATAGTAGTAGGATACCGTCAGGAACCCCAGTAAACACAAATCGTTGATTACGAATTATAGAGCACAAACACAGGTTAGGTTAGGTAAGGTTTGTCAGGAAACAGGACAAGTATTTCCTGACGCGGGTCTTAGTCATATGATGACCCGCAGCTGGAGCTTTCGGTCATCTGACTGAGGCCTTCCGCTAGCTTACTGGTCCACCACTTTAAAATTTATGGTCATACATATAATCATTAGATAATTAGGTTTACACAAACACAAACATGACAGCACCCGTATATAGCTGTGAATGTGCTGCTTATGTGAACCTTGTGCCGGTACAATACCACACAGTAGACGGTATGTAGTTCTTTGCGTTTAGAGCAGTCTACTCACAACCAATAGATCCTCAAGGGTAATCATGGATAGGAAGACGTATGAATACACATCTCACTTTCTTCGCATGCTCACTTAGCATCCTGTGGCTCTGAAATGAGCGGAGTCGAGATAACAGCTCTCATAAATGCAAGAGATCAGATTTTTTTTGATCTTTAGTACTCACTTATATGTTCTTGTTGAAGTGTGTAGCAGACGTGGAAGTGTTGGTGCTGTAGTAACACTGCTGTGGCGCTTACTCACACCACCATGAATGACACTAGTGCAAGTGACACTTAAGCGTCTGACACTGATGGTGGGAGTAGCTGGTGATGAAGCGGTAGCGGGGGGAGAGCAGAACACAGCTTACATCTACAACACACTGATCTGCAACACAAGACCACAGTCTATATTAATGCAATAATTGTGGTATACATTAATTTAAAATATTAATAAAATAATAATTACTAAGGGTCGTGGTTGTGTGTGATAGGAACAAAAAAGATAGCAAGTCACTGTCACCAGTATCTAGGACCTAACATTTGTCACACAACCATTACACCCTCTTTCCTTCTTCCCCAGTATTTGTGACTCTTTTCATTCCCAGAAAGGTAAACGACTGCCAACACAGGCGGAGCTACACACTGTTCCCCTTAAAGGATCAAACCTGATTGCCTCTCATTCCCCGTATGTTCTACGATCCCTACGGGTTCGACGTTTTCCAGTGATGATAATCCTGGCTTGCATGGCCACTTCATAAGTTTGACTGTTCCTATAGCTAAAAATGGGTAAATACAACCCCTGTCTGGAGCAGTCTTCTAATGAAGAATTTAAAGAAACCAAAAAGTCCAAGGATCAGAAAAAAATGGACACTGATTCTTATGCAAACGGACAGGCTGGAAATGCATTTGAACCTCTGCAAGGTACATGATTAGTGTACTTGTCATAGGGATCTGAACCTGTGTATCGTTGCTTACTGACGTGAAACTAAGAGCGGAAGAGGATCTAGACATTCTGCGTGAAAACTGGAAAGTTGTCAAATCAGTTATTGCTGGAGTTTAGCACAGAAGTGGAAAAGGTCATGCATAGTGGAATGGAGTATAGTTTGCGACGGAAAACACTGCAATCGTAGTATGAGAAAGCTCCAGGAGTGAGCATCAAACTGAATGTATATCCAGAGGTACACTATAAGCCACATGAAACATCGGCAGCATGAAAGGTTAATAAATTTCTGAGAAACTTTTAGAAACTTCAAAAAATTATCATGTAAAACACTGTGAGGACAAACTTGATAAAAATGAATCCTGTACAGAGTTGTCTAAAATGACGCCTTACTCTCAAATAAGCCTTTATACCCCTACCCATTAAAGTGTGTAGTACCAGCATGAAGCCTATACCTGATAAAGAATTTTGAAATATAAAGCTCAGGTTTGCGTTTTAGATGTGGGGCATTACAGCCTTGACAGATATAAAGATCAAGAAGAAAATTATTATTAAATACAAGATAACTGGAGGATCGAAGAGAATGTGATAAACCAGTGGGATATGGTACGTTAGTATGAATGGATGTTTAAAAATAGAAATATTGCAATATATATTCTCAGACTCTGGGTGGATTATATTATTCAAGGGGAAGCACTAAACCCACAGGGGTTAGTGCTTCATATAGCGCCTGAGAAAACGAGGCAATCAGGGGAGGGTAATTCCTTAGATAAAGGACTCTGCACCAACTTTAAGACAACGCTTCGGTGAATGTAAACCTATAGTGACACTTACAAGACATCACTAGCCATGCAGACTAAGTTACTCACATCATCCACAGGCAGCCATTTCTCAGGCGCTGTACGATTCATACAGGTTCAATGCTTCCCCATGAATAGGTAATTTGTTGGAGGTGGTAAATCACATCAATGGTGTGTGCCAATCACTCACTACAGTTGTGACCGGGTGTGGAAGTGTGAATTGCTCATTACACTATAATTTGTTCATGATTGTAGCCATGTATAAACGTAAGTAACCATTCTTACAGGATTCATTACCTTTGTAACTTGTGAGTTCATTACCTTTGTACCTAGTTCAGCTATCAAAACTTTGGGGGCCCAGGCCCAGCCCTGGACCCATTACGTACCTCTGTAATCTGTAAATACCTTTGTAACTTGTCATGATTGTGACCAGACCTACCTGGAGTTCATTACCTTTGTAAATTGTGAGTTCATTACCTTTGTAAATTTTGAATTCATTACCTCTGTAACTTGCTCTGCTATCAAAACTTTGGAGTCCAGTCCCTGGACCAATTATGTACCTCTGTAATCTTTTGACTACCGCCCACAGGATGGGTATGGGGCGCATAATAAACATATTAAACTAAACTAAACTGTGTGCAAAGAACAACACAGTTTATATACAGGATGAAGGTGTGGGCGTAATGGGGGTGGGATTGACAGCTGCACCAACCAGGCTGTACACTTTAGTCTACAGTATCACACAATCTGCCTACAAACCACCCCTTAACCTGTACCTATCGTACAACCCCCTACACCCATATCCACAAACCCTACCCTGCCCCCTGCCCTGCCCACCCTCCCTCCACTAACACCTTCTACCACACTGTCACTCACACCTACCCTCTCTCACCCACTCACCGGCCCCACCACTAGTGCTAGGCGGTAAGTTTATTCAGGTATACACAAATACAGTTACATAGATTATCATACATAGCAGCATATGTGTAAAGTGCCTAGGATAACCCAAAAAAGTCAGACAGTGATTAATTTCCATTGGGGTACTACGATTTCCGTTATCTAGTAACCATTTTTATTTGATTTTGCAAGATTGTTCACAATATGAGTACACCAAGCTTCAGTGACACCTGAAATGTTGTCTATATTAGGAAGCGGAGAAGAGAGAAAACGAGAAAGAACAAGAGAAAAAAGTGAGCGAGCGTGAAACCGTGTTCGAATGTGAGAGAGTGCAAGATCAAGTACTTTTTTATTATTACCAAGATATAAATTGTGCAAGACAGGTATACAATACCGACAAGATGAAAGTTAAGACACTTGTGCAACATCTGGTTATCTTTATTGTAGACGTTTCGCCATCCAGTGGCTTTATCAATACAGATTCTTGGACATAATTAGAAAACAGAAGAACATTATATACAAAAGATGAGGTAATCAGTCCCTCAGACTTGGAGGTGGTGTTTGCAGCACCGTGGTTGTGGAGATTCTGAAGCAGAGGTAAGGAGACTGGCGCTTATATAGGCGTCAGTGAAGAGGGACATGTAGCAGACGAGGGCATAGTCACTGGTAGGCGGGATTCCCCAGTGGAAGTAGGTCCACCTCCAAGGCTGAGGGACTGATTACCTCATCTTTTGTATATAGTTCTTCTGTTTTCTAATTATGTCCAAGAATCTTTATTGATAAAGCCACTGGATGGCGAAACGTCTACAATAAAGATAACCAGATGTTGCACAAGTGTCTTAAGATAAAAATTGTAATAAAGTTGGTAGAATTACCGACAATATGTAAAGTAAAAGGACACAAGTGCAACTAATGTGACATTTTATTGTGGCAACGTTTCGCTCTCCAGGAGCTTTATCAAGCCATTACAAACAATATATGGACACAGAGGGTATATATAGGCTCAGAGTGAGGTACAATACTAGTGAGGTACCATTTCGATGTTCACTAGTGGTAGTAGTAGTAGTAATACAATATGGTAGAGCAATTAATTCGTACATGAGTACGAATTAAAGCGTTTATATCCTTTTACTCATGTACGAATTAATTGCTCTACCATATTGTATTACTACTACTACTACTACTACTACTACTACTACTACTACAACTTTTGTCACTACTACTACCACTAGTAATGTACCTCACTCTGAGCCTATATATACCCTGTGTCCTTGTATTGTTTGTAACGGCTTGACAAAGCTCCTGGAGAGCGAAACGTTGCCACAATAAAATGTCACATTAGTTGCACTTGTGTCCTTTTACTTTACAAGATAAAAATTGCAAGAGGGCAGGTGAATAGTTTACAAACGGCACCAACATGAAAGTTACAAATCTGACAACTCACAACTATTCCAATGAACCAGCTATGTTTTTTTTATTATTTTTTTTATTATTTAAAACCAATACAGTTTAACATAAAAATAAAAAAACAGTATGGGTCTCAATCAAATTAACTGACAAACGGCTTGCACCTATATGCTCGCAAGATATTGCTGCCAAACATACAACAAGAACTTACGGCAAGAACATAGCTAAAAAAAAAAAAACTGTCACAGGGTCATGAATTGACATATACACATTCATTGATGCAAAACCTTACATATATATAAGTTGTACATATAACATGACATCTGACAAAGGCTCAATACACTTGAACATAAAATATACAGAGATGTTATATCAGTTAAATCCCATCCTTCGCATTAATCAAAAAAAACCCAAAAACCCAACTTTATAATCTTACTAGAACATCAACATACGTTTTCCCTAACAATACAGCTTTACATATACCAACATACAATAAACAAAAAAAAAAGTTTAGAACAAAAAAAAACGAAGCGCAATACTGCACAATAAACCCATATACAAACTCTAAACAAAAGGGGATCGCCCCTAAACTGTCTAGAATGTCTGTATACCTACAGACTAAAACTTAACTCAAAAACTTAGCAGACCCAAACCGGTACGGGGTAAAACCCAAATTAAAAATTTTAAAAAGAATCGAATATACATATATAAAGTATTACATAACGTCTGACCCATGAAAAAGGGACTAAATACAATAAAAGGGATATATAATATATAATATATATATTATAATATATATTTAATATATATATATATATTTATAATATATATTAATATATATTATTATTTTTATTACACCCGGCCGATTCCCACAAGGCAGGGGGGCCCCAAAAAAAAGAAAAACTTTCACCATCTTCACCCATCACTGTCTTGCCAGAAGGGTGCTTTACATACATTTTTTAAACCCTGCAAATTAACCCCCCTCCTTCAGAGTGCGGCACGTATTCCATTCCAAGGACCAAGCCCGGGCCCTGCCGGTTTCCCTGAACCCCTTCTAAATGTTACTTTGCTCACACTTTCCAACAGCACGTCAAGTATTTTAAAAAACCCTTTGTCCCATTCACTCCATCAAACCCGCTCACGCAGCCTGCGGGAAATCCAAGCCCCCCGACACAAAACCTCCTTTACCCCCCCCCCCTCCAAACCCTTCCTAGGCCCACCCCACCCCCCCCCTTCCTTCCCTACGAGATAACTCTTGAAGTCATTCTGTTTCGCTCCATTCCTTACATTCCGAACAACCTCAACAACCCCTTCCTCAGCCCCTGGACAAAAATTTTTTGG